TCTGTGGGACTGTACCTTTAAGGAATACTCCGGCCTGAAGGAGATCAACTCTCTTTAGTTTGAACAGGTTTGTTTTGGGGGCAGCTGGTCATCTGAATGATAGGCTGCAAAGCCTCACTCTGTGTCGCCCTACAGAACTCCCAAGAGAATGGAAGTGTGAGCAGATGCTGCAAACTTCCCAAGTGCCGGTGTCACAGCAATTCCAGATGTGTAGAACATGTCTAGGCTCGTTCCAACTCTCTTGTGGGCAAGGCAAGGAAGAGTCCAAGAAGAAGCCACCACATGGCTTCGCTCCTCAGAGCCCCTTTTCAGAGTTACCCAGCTGGGATCAGAGTACAGCTGGCCTCCTTTATCCTGCTTCTCACTGAAAAGCAAGCCCACCTCCCTGCACTCTGTGTCCCCATCTTCCTCTTCTCATTCCCTCCGCATCCTCTTTTAGGATGCAATTTCTTTTCTGCCCAGAACTCAAGGTGTGATATGAGTGACCAGGTTCCCTGTGGGACACAGTGAGTATCAGCTGAGAAGGGCCTCAGGCCAGGATCACCTCCAAACACAAAGCCAGGCAAGGAGATTTTGAGTTTTCTTCATCAAGGAAACAAAAAGCTGAAGAGCCTGTGCAAAGCCAAAAGAGAGGAGCCAGATGTTGAGATTCTCTCCCAGCACTGAAATGATTACAAAGACAAAAGCAAGTGGTTGGTGGTCACCGTCTCTGCAAGCAGAAAGCCATTTTTTTTTTCCACTTTCTGTTAATAAAGCCATTCATTTGATTAGCGTTCTTTACTTACTAGCTCATGGATGGAGCTTCTGCAAACCTATGAAGAAAAGTAAGTTACAGCCAGCTACTGGAAGACATTAATAAAAGGCGGCTATGGACAAGCTCACATCTAAAGGTAATTAACTTCACAACTCTGTAAGTAGCCAGTACTGGTGATGAGTAGTAGAGAAAGCACTGTGTAATATTGCATACATCTATGATTCATTTCTATCTGGGCAAGCCTCTTGCAAACACTATTTAGGAATATGTCAGGAAATAGCCCACTGGTCTTTGTAGAATTTTAGATGCCCCTCAAGCTTACACAAAACAGGAAGGAAAAAAAATGTACTCATCAAAAGAAACTGAAAGGAACCATATGGGGAAAAATAGTTTTGTTAGTTACGTTTGAAGTGATACATTTTTGACTCTGATTTAAAGTTTAGACCTCAGGAGGGAAAGAACATTCTGGTATGAATATAAAAAGTATAAATGAGAATTAAAAAAAAAAGTAAGATGGGTGAGAGTCTGGGCCAATCATACCTGTGGTGAGAATGACTTAAATTATTAACCTATTAAACATAGGTAACATCGTGTGAAATTTGCTGGATCCCGCTATTTGTACTGCTCATTCAGGAAGGTAAAATGGAAAATTTCCATCTTACACATTTAGTTCTCTTTAATTTGGCAAACACCAACTTTTTCCACTGTGTTTCTACCTGAGCGGACTCCTGTCAGCTGGTGTGACTGTGTGCGTGAGCTTGTGTTTTAATAGCTAGGCACACTGCTATTGGTGCTATTAGCTCAACTTATCTGCCAGCTGAAGTTTGGATTTATTTCTGGCTATGGGTACTCCATAGGAACAGGGCCCTAATATTGCTCTTTGCAAGTTTGTAAATGGACGGCTGTTTGATCGCTCAGACTTACACATGTAACAGTTCTGAAGTTTCACCCGTAAGCTTTTCTCTGGGAACGTTCGATGGCCGTAGCCACACAGCTATGAATGTCTGTTTTGACTTTAGCCTTGAATCTGCAGCTGCGCAGGATCCGTGCCTTCTGCGCCTTTCAGGCACAGCTGCCTTTGCTGACTGCATCTTCACTGTTCTTTGAAGGCCAGCTCAAGCATCCAGGCTACTCCATGCTACTTTGGAGGGAATTATTCCTGCCTTCTCCACCCTCCCTGGACACATAGTTGTGCTCATCAACATTGACTACAACATGCATAATGGCTAATCGTCACTATTGATTGAATTTAGAACCAGCCAGGAGGCAAACCTCTAGGCTTGCATTTTAGGGCACTTCCACAAATGCTTAACAGAGGAGGAGAGAGCCATCCTGAATGTGCATCCCATAGGCTGGCTTCCTCAACTTCAAAAAAAAAAAAAGAAAAAAAATGAGAAAGCGAGGAACATTCGTTTCTCTGTATTCTCCTCTGATGGACCGTGCCAAAACAAACCTCTTCATTACTTAAGTTGTTTTTGTTAGGTATTTGGTCACAGTAATGAAAAGAAGCAAGTAATGGGACTTCCTGTGTGCTTTTCATACAGCCAAGAGAGAATCCCTTTATGCTGTAGGGCAATAATGTTGAAAAGAACCCAGGGTCTGGGCCAGCAAACCTAGCTGTGCCTACAATTCTCATGTTCATGGCTCTGAGGAAATCTACTCTAAGGTCATCTACTCAGAGCCTCGAGGTTTACTCTATCCTAGGCACAGGGCGAAGGCCTTAAGTAACATTTCCCCATGTCCAGAGCCTGCCAAGTGTAATTCTTTTAGTCTCAGTGCTTGGACAGACTAGGTACACTTGAGCTGGCAGCAGGGCACTGTCTGCTGAGTCAGCTGTCCTGACTCAGGGGTTGAGATGACTACAACATGGGTCTCTGGAGAGGGAAGATGCTGGCTAGGCTATAGTTCCCACCTCTCTGGCTGGAAAGTTACCAGGCATGATTCCTAAGGACAAGTGATGATGAGGAGGCTCATGGGAAGGGAAGGGAGACAACTCTTACATCCTTTCCCACTGTCTTTCATCCCTCTCCTCTGGCCAGATTAGCTTGGAAGAATCACAGATCTCGCTCTGAGTCACTCTAGAGTTGTTCTGGTAGCAGTTTGGGGTCACTGTAACTCTTGGACTATGAGCACACTGCAAATCTGTGTTCTTGCCCTCACCCCAAGCACTGGTTAGTGGAAAATGTATTAGGAATATTAGAGACTCGTGAAAATGCCATCTGAATAAAATGCCATTCCCACTCCTGGGCTCAAATAATGAAGGGAATTTGGGGAAAATCAGTGACTCATAACTTCTCCCACAATCTCACTGTCATGAGTAATTGATTAAAGTAGACGATAGTACTGAGTATTTTCTCTTGCAGCTTAGATACATCGTGTGAGAAGTTTCAGAAGCTTTTGTCAGGTCCCCAGATATCACTTCATCATCCTGTGCATCAAACCACAGCATTTCAACCTGAAGAGTTGACAAAGTTTTCATTCCTCACACCCCTCCCCCATTCCTTCACCCTGGCCAGGGAATGGCAGAAGTCTGTGAGGAGCAGAATTTCCCATGATGCTTCGAACTTCAGCAGCTTGCTCTGCTCCTAATGGCTTCAGTTCATGAGGATGGGTTTTTATGTGAATGTCAGGCATGTCGCAATAACTAGCCACAATGAAATAATCATGGCAATTTCCACCATTTGGCTTCTTTGTTTTTGTGATGTTGCTGCATGCTTCATTTTATGAGTGTTTTCTTTTCTTATGTGTGTGGTTGAGCCCATCAATTGCCATCCTGGACTTGGGCATTTGTATTTAAAGGGAGATGAAGACCAGAGAGAGAAACAGGAAATTGATAGTATGGCATAGCATAATGCTTACTGTTTTATTTCCTCACCCTTTACCTTTGCTGACAAATACTCTGGTGTTCTATAGAGTTTGTGTCTCCCTCCAAAAGAAATGAGGACCATAATAAGGCCTAAGAAAAAGTATTGTGAAAACTAGGTTTCTCCTAGTGATGTCGCTTATTAACACAGATTAAGATGTGGTAATACTTGTGCTGAAATAAGACACAAAAACTGCCAACAATCTTTTTGGTTTGGTGTTCTGGGCTAAGTCCTTAGGAGCTTCTAACTGACCACAGCATCTATTAAAATGCTACATTGTATTAGAACGATAACAGAATAGACTCTTAAGGAGAAGAATTTTTTCTGGATATATTGCATGTGCGAATGCACATCTAGGCCAGGGGTCCATGTAGGTGTGGTCCTTGACTATTTTCTCTCTTTTTGTGGACAGGATATTTCATTAAACCCAGAGCTCACTGATTTGGCTAGAGCGGCTAGCCAGTGAACTTCTGGAATCTGTTTGTCCACCCCCCCCCCCACTTCCAACCAGTGTATCACTATGGTTGGCTCTTTACATAGGTTCTGGGGATCTGAACCCAGGCCCCAACTGTCCTAAGACAACACTTACTGACTAAGCTATCCCCCAAGTCCAGGACTAGCAGTATTCTAAAGCATCTGTGGCACCTAGCCCATTTCAGCGAGGTACAGAGTAAGACTCACTGCACAAAGCCCTAACTGGAGGGTGCTGCCTGAAACACACACTGAATTCCAAGCTGGAAGTCTTTGCTTTCTATGGCAATTCATAGTGGATCCACCAACAGGAGGTCTTTTTGTGACAGGGTTCTGATCAAGCCTAACAGAAGGACCACACCTTAGGTGGGGTAAAAAGCTGGTGATGTTGAACTCTAAGGAGAAAATACCACTGTACACAAGCAAGATTTTTGAGGAGGGTTTGCCCATTCCTCCCAGCCCACCTTCAAGTGAAAACCTGGTCACACCTCCTTCCTTTAGCCCCTCTACCCCTTGTAAGATGTCACAAAGATCATCTCTGCGTTCCAGTCAGTTTTCAAATAGTCACCAGCATCCAATCCCACACATTTGCCCATCTTTCACTTTTCTGTTTCCACTCTCTCTCTTTTTTACTACAAGGGTTTTCTCTCTTGTTCCTTAGGATTTGACACATTTTTAGGTTAAAAAAGAGAGAGAGGGAGAGGGCCAAATAGGTCCCGAAAGGTGAAGAGACTCTCTGCGGTTACCAAGCTCTGGAGTTTTATGGGAAGGAGCATGTGTGCGCGAATGTCGAGAGCGAGACACTAGCTGGCCTGGTGACCAGGAGCCCGCCCCCATCCCTCCCCGCCCCCTCCGGCGCTCACACTCAGGAAGCAGCTGGCTGCGGGCCGGCCCTCGCGGCCGCACACACTCCTCGCTGGGCAGCCTCCCTCCCGCCCTCTTCCCCCTTCCCCTCTCCCCGCAGCCGCGTCCCTACTGCGCCGCCCGGGCAGCCCAGAGCGCGGCGCGCAAGGGCACGGGAGCCAGGGGCCGCGCACCTCGGGGCCGCGGCGGGCCCGGGTCCAGGCTCGCACCGGCGCTCTCCAGCCGGGACCCAGCTCAAACAGCCAGCATCCCGAGCCCGGCCCCTCCACGCATCCCCCAGGCCCGGAGCGAGGATGAGCACTCAGGGCCAGGCACCAGGTCGCTACTCAACTTTGTAAAGACATGATTGGAGTGTGTCTGTGTGTAGCGGGGACAGCGAGCTGATGCCGAGAGTCGGCCCGCTGCCCTGCCTCCTCCTTCCCGGGCCGCCGCCGCCGCAGCCGCGCGCGCACACACACGGCCATCGGGTCGCGTTTCCGCGCTCCGGCCCCGGGCTTGGATGCGAGTTTTCCTTTCAGAAGGAGGCAGAGCCTGCACGGGGTGCCGAGGGGCTGACCCCCACCCACGGGTCGCCAGTGCTGTCACGCGCGGTCTGGCTGGGAGAAGGGACTCGCGCGCCTAGCTTTGTTGTGGAAATCCGGTTACCTGGTAAGTGGATGCCATAGGAACTTTGTTCGGCAGGCGAGAGACGAGCGAGAAGGCGCTAGAGACTGTGGGGGCGGTCAGTCTCAAGAGATGCAAACTCGGGATTAGAAATAGTTTGTGCACGCGGGGTTAGTGGTGTTCGCGCGGCTTTGAGGACACGGGTACCCCAACTCCCTAGACTCACAGGGCTTCTAGAGACATAGGCACACCTTACCGAGGCTGATGGCAATACTCAGCCGTCGACTGCCTGTCAGTTGCCTAAGAGCGCCAAGTATAGACGGAAAGGAAACCTACAAGGTGTTGAAGTTTAGTTTATGAGGGAGAGACTCTGCCTTTTAAAAGAAAATACAGTTCCCAGAGGGCTACGCAGTCAGGGCCAGTTACAGAGCGCTCCAGCACGGTGCGCGCCATCCCTCGGGGTCCTACTTGAGGGAAACTTTGGCAAAGTGGGGAGTGATGGGGTGGCCTGAGGTCTTTGGCAGTAGTCTTTCCGGCTTCCACGTGTTTGTGGAGCGCCACGAAGGCTGTTTTCCACTTTTGTGTTTCATCCTAGTTGGTGTCCCCATTGTTCAGGGAGGTGCTCGTGTTGGGGGACACAGCTGCTAGTCCAGAGTGGTGCAGCGACCCGAGGCCGCCAAGTTTTCAACTGTAACTTCTCATGCCACGAAACGCAGACACATTCAGACACTAACACTCTCCGCTGGGTTCGGCACCTCGCGTGTACATTTTTATGGGTCGGGACAAAATGTCACCACTGTTTGGTTAATGTCTCAGTCTCGGGGACTTTGTCCAGCTTCGAGACTCTGGTCCCTATAAATGACCCTGTGTCTATTTTGAAGTCTACCGGGACTATTTTCTGGAAAGCGTGAGTGAGCTGTTGGCAATCCTAGACACACACCTTGCCCCAAGCGACAGTTCCAAGTTACTCACTAGAGCTGACAAGTCACCCAGGGGACGAGGAACTCACCCAAGTGTCTGAAAACCTTGGCCCGGTCGGATTTGTCATCCTATGGATGATTCAAATAGGTACCTGGAAGGAGACACTTAGTGGGAAAGGGTTCTGGCTCCACGATGTCACGGCCTTGGACCTGGTAGTGTGTTTGGGAGGCGACAGCAAAACGACACCTCGGGGTAGGGGGCTCGCACCAAGGTCCGGACGCGGGCGGGGTTCTGGGCAGTGTGCACCCTAGTGTGGTTCTCGGGTCTCTGGCCCGCTGTGCGCGGATCCCCTCGGTTTGTCCTGGTTTCCTCCTAATTGGAGGCTGGCGGCGGCCTTTCTGCCCCCGACTTACTCAGTACCGGGTTGCACAACAGGAAGCCGGCACGAGTTTGTTTTGTTTTGTTGCATTCGCTCGCTCGCCGGCTGGCTGACACGCCGCGGGTAAGGGGCGGGGGCAGAGCGGGGGCGGCCGGGTGCGCTAGCACCACTAGGGGCCCTGGCGCCTGCACCTCCGGACCCGCCCCTCGCTTACCTCCTGGGAGTCCAGGGGCCAGGACCTAAGACCCTGCGGGGGGGGGGGCAAGGTGTGTGTGTGTATCTGTGTGTGTGTGTGTCTGTGTGTGTGTGTCTGTGTTGGGGATGGGTGTTAGAGACTCCAGGAGGGCTCTCTACTCACTGTTGCCAGACATATATCTGGGCCCTGCACCCCACCAGGACTCCAGGTTCCTCTGCCCTGAGTACCTCTTCCTGGCTTGGTTTCCTTGACACCAGCTTGGGCAGATGGCAGAGAGGATAGGAGGATAGGGGGTCACTTCCGGAGTCCTAGGGAGCAGTGTCCACTGGGACTCCAGCAGTTACAACCATTTCACCTAGAGAGGACACCTTCTCAATCCTGCAGAATCCTTCTAGGATGTCAATCTGTCAATACCTCTTGAGAATTGGGGTTGATGATCCCAGGTCATCCTAGAGTTCACAAGGAAAGAGAAGTTATACCCCTCCCCCCCAGTGGACCAGTCTCTTTGGGTTGTGGGACCTGAAGTCCCCAGAGGGAACTATTAAAGTCCTAGGGGTCCTTGGGAAATCAAGACCCAGAGACTCAAGGGGTTTTGCCTAGGAACCCCTGCCAAACTTAAGCATCCAGGAAAAGCAGTGAAGTTTCTCAGTTGAGAGCAAGCCCTTCTTGGCCTGAAGGTGAACTCAAGACTAATGCAAAGCCTCTTCTGCCTGCTCTGAAGCTTTGATGAGTCATGATTTCTGCCTTGGATGGTTGCCAGGCTGTTCCCTAAATGTTTTCTTGCCCACTGGGCTTCACTTTTTAGACTAAACTAGGAACTTTTTAAATTGTAAAGATGGACCTGTGTTAGTTTAAATCTTCCTCCCCCTTTTCTCTCTCGTTTCCAGTGAGGTTACACAAAGCAGGTGCAACCTGCAAAAGTTTGCAGGAAAACCATGAAGGTTGTGCCTGGAAAGGTTGATGCGATCTAAAGAGAGAACTCGTGTGTGTGTGTGTGTGTGTGTGTGTGTGTGTGTGTGTGTGTGTGTGTGTGTTCCCCTTTACTTTTGCAACAAGTGCTGCTGACATTTAATGATAATGACTACTAGCATTTGCTACAGTTTTCATGAAGACTAGCTCCAACCCTGCTCCTCCTTGAATTGAAGGAGGCATTGTTCCCATTCTTATTGGTACTCTGTTCATTTCTTTTCTTCCATTCTGGGAGGACTCAACCTTCTTGAGAGTGGGTTAGTTACTTCTGTGTGCTCTAGGATGGTCCCCTCTCCCCTTGAGGTCAGTCTGGGCAGAGTGGCCGTCATGTCCTACATTCTACCAGGGTTTTCGTTGGTTCTACCAGTGAGTATACCAAAGTTCCCAGTCATATTAGCTGAGGTTGGATAACTGGGGTTGGTTGGTTTGCTTTAGAGAAAGCAGTCCTAATTCCAAATGGGAAGTAACTCTCTTGTTGGATGCACTCCAGAGTCTACCTAGTGTGGAATTTTTACCTGGCCAAAGAAGAATAGGGAGGGTTAAGTAAATGGAACCCGTGTTTTGTAACAGCTTTGCCTTGATTTATGTGACAGAGGTGGTTTTTCCACAGTTTAAGAAGACAGGTCAGTGTCCACCTAACCTTCTTCCTAGTAGGTCCTAGGATATCCTGTCTACATTGTCGTTTCGGGCCATAGTTGCTGATCACTGGAGTTGGAATGTTAGTGTTTAATTCTCCCAGATTGTAGGAGTTACTTCGAAGGAGCGGATCCAGGAAGAAGTATCAGAACACACTCTTATCCTTGGAGAAGTCATTTCCTGTGTTTCTGCAATTATTTTTCTATAGAGGAAGTTCTATTATAAATAAGGTATCAATACAGGATTAACGCTTTCATGTTTGGCTAGTTCACAAATTCAGTCAGGACCGAAGAAAAACGTCACACAAGTAGTCTTTGCAATAAAAATATGATGGCATCCTTATTTAAGAAGAAAGAGACAAAAAGGAAAGACTTTCACATGACATTAGGAATGAGCCAAATTTTTATAAAAGATTGTTCCACGTTTTCCTAATTACCCACTTACTTTAGGCAGAGTTGATACAAAAGCCAACATTTTTATTAATGTAAAACAAAATGTCCACATGGAAGATCACATCTGTTAGTTTCAGAAACAGGACACACCCAACAAATGAACATTCAAGGAGCATCTCTCACAAGTCCGTTCAGTGACTGCCTCCCTCTCAGTTTGTGGGTTGCAACCCTATTTTGTGGGTCCCATATCAGATATCCTGCTTATCAGATATTTGCATTGTGGCTCATGACAGTAGCAAAATTACAGTTATGAAGCAGCATCTAAATAATTATATGGTTGGGGGTCACCACAACATGAGGAACTGTATTAAAGGATTGCAGCATTAGGAAGGTTGAGAGCCACTGCTTTAAGGTCACACTGCACTCACTTCTAACACTTGTGTGAGTTTTACTGAACAAGTATCATATGCAATTGGAATAGTTTTAGCTTTGTATCATCGGCATGCAACTTTATAGTAGTTTTTTGTTTTCCTTTAAAGGAGGCAAGAACAGTTTGGCTTAGATAAAGTAGTTGTGTGAGCATTACTTAAAGTGTCAGAACTAATGAGGAATACAAGTAAGATAGATCATATCCATACCTGTCTGGTATCTTGTGAGAAACACAACCAATGTGACTCCAGGTGAGCAGGAGAAATGCTGAAGAGTATGCATTGGTAGCCCCGGTACGGGGGCCAACACTCCACAGCAAACAATTCAGTTCTAGTACTGAACTGACTGTGAAAATTGTCCAGCAGAGTGCCAAGATTGAGTCTGCTCAGAGGATGGGATAGGATTTCTATATTACTTCTTCCTACCTAGAGAAAGGAAAAGAAATGAGAATGGATAGACTAGAAAGCATATAGATGTAATTAAATTGGATTCACAGGTCACAGGAGCATGGGACTCATTATTGCATTGTCACATGTCACTCCTATATTTATTCAGATAATAAGAAGATAAGGGTAGACTATAATTATATATCTCACTTTTACTTTCTGCATAATATGAAGAGTAAAAATACAGTAAATATATACATGTGTAAATTAGTATTGAGATAGATGTATGATAAGTTAGGCTTGAAAAGGACTGATATGTAAATAGAGTATATGACAATCTCTAAATGCAAGGTATAAGCTAGACATAAGCACAAAACTCAATGAAATGAGAATTTAGGCAGGGAAATGAAGCATAGGCAAATAGCCACAATGTACTGCAGAATAGTAGGAATGTGAAACGGAAAATGTGTGTGGAGTAAAACAGTTAATATTGGTTGGGTTCTTAAGGTCCTTGGCTCTGTACTAAGACTGGGACATGCATTTTCTCATATGTTACTCTGTAACGTCATAAGCAGTGCACAATACGGTGGAGTGCATTCCTGGGGTTGACACCTGAGGTTGTCCTCTGTTTCCCACATGTGTGTGCACATGCACCGTTCCACATTGAGCCGTGTACATGCAAACTTGCATACACATACACACTCCATACACAAACTGAGAAAGGAAGAGGCCTGGGA